GCAAAATTAAAAGTGAAAGTATAATACGCACGCATTTATAAGCTATTTAAAAGCAGGAAAAAAAGAGGAAACCCCCACCCCCACGGTGATACCGGTATTACCGGTGTTGTCACATGTCCATTAACCGGTGGGGAAATTTCCTCATCGTCACAACCCTACTGGGCGGTAACTGCAGGCTGTGCACTGAGACAGTGCTGGGCGTTACCGGCGGACTGTGCACTGGGACACTGCTAGGCAATAACTGTGGGCTGTGCATTGGGTCAATGATGGCTGGTAAATGCAGGCTGTGCACTAGGACACTAATGGGTGGTAACTGCAGGCTGTGCACTGGTACGTTGCTGTGCAGTAACTGCAGGCTGTGCATTAGGATAGTGCTGGGCGATAACTATGGGTTGTGCACTGGGATACTGCTTTGTGGTAACTGCGAGCTGTGCACTAGGACACTGCAGTACAGTAACTGTGAACTGTGCACTGGGACACTGCTGGGCAGTAACTGCAGGCTGTCCACTGGGACACTGCTGGGTGGTGGCTCTGGGCTATGCACTGGGACACTGCTGGGTAGCTGCAGGTGGTGCACTGGGACGGTGCAAGACGGTAACTGCAGCTGTGCTTTGGGACATTGCTGGGAAATAACTGTGGGCTGTGCACTGGGACACTGCTGGGAGGTAAAGGTGGGCTGTGCACTGGGACACTGCTGGGCGTTAACTGCAGGCTGTGCACTGGAATACTGCTGGGCGGTAACTGCAGGCTGTGCTTTGGGACACTGCTGGGAAATAACTGTGGGCTGTGCAGTGGGACACTGCTGGGTGGTGAAGGTAGGCTGTGCACTGGAACACTGCTGGGCAGTACCTGCGGGCTGTGCACTGGGACACTGCTGGGTGGTGAAGGTGGGCTGTGCACTGGGACACTGCTGGGCGGTAACTGCAGACTGTGCACTGGGACACTGCTGGGCAGTTCCTGCGGGCTGTGCACTGGGATACTGCTGGGCGGTAACTGCAGGCTGTGCACTCATACACTACTGGGTAGTAACTGCAGGCTCTGCACTGGGACACTGCTGGGCGGTAACTGCAGGTTTTGCACTGGGACACTGCTGGGCGGTAGGTTACGCCCTATGAGGACCGGCTGCGACTTGCGGAGCCCCGCCCCTCCTTGTAACCCCGGGTTACCGTCAGTCACCTGGGGAGGGTGGGCGACGGCGAACCGAGGCGTCAGAGGCAAGGCGCTCCCTCTGCATCCTCAATGGAGACAAGACAAACTGCACCCTCGTGTCATAAAATACACCCCCGGGATACAAGTAAGGAAACCGCCGGGTGCTTCGAATACCTTGGCGCTAACCATTAGAAATATTTAACAAAAACACACAGACACTGTTCAACTTGCGGCCACGCTCGGTATGATAACTGTGGTTACTAGCAATTAGCAATTAGTTGTGCTAAGGGCCTTAAACCGCGAATTCGGTGTCCAGTAAAGTTAGACGAAGCCGCCGTTTCCAGCCTAGGTATACAGAGGCGTGTGTGCGCTCTCAGGGGTCCCCTGCATGTAGCAATATCGGGGAAAGACTGCCGCCACCCCGGCCTCATATGACAGCGGTGTTTCCCATACGTTCATATGCAAATATTCTCCCCTCGGTTTTCCTATTTGTCGAAGAAATTTGACGAAGAAATGCAGTCGACAGCCGAAATGATCCCGAAATGATGCGGCTTGTTGTGGCTACATGCACCACGGCGCTCATTTTAGCGAAAGGGTCCACATCGGTAACCACAGACTGAATCTCTGATCCGCCCCCCCAACCCGCCCCACAGCAACACCCCCCCTACACAGCACCCCCTAAAATAAACCCATGGTAAGCTTCATTTTAGGTTTATTATTATTATTACTATTGTTATTATTATTATTATGGCCCAGAGAGCGCGCCAGCTAAGCGATGCTCCGCCCGGCAGCCCGACACGGCACTTACTTCCCGATCACCTCGCACAGCTCGTACACATCTTCAAACAGCACGTCGTCGTCGGCCATGGTCCAGCAAGGATGGGGAGATTATCCCCCGAAACCCCGTCCAAACGCTATTTTCTTAATTAAACAAAGAGCCACTCTTGGGGAACGGGGAGAGGGGGTAACGAAGCAGTCCTTGTGAGCGCTTTGCAAAATCCAATGGGCGGGTAAAAAATGAAATAAAATTAGAAATCTCTCCGCTTTGATTCCTCAGAAAAACTGCCCCGGCGATGAACCTGCGATCGGGCCGCTTCTCGGACTCCGTACTGCCCCACCTTCCGCTAGTCTCCCGGCTCCCCTCGGTCCGGGGGTCCAGCGTATGGGTCGCACCCCGCCTCTTATTATGCCCTGTGCAGTCCCAGCCTCCGGATCACTGTCTGCACCGGTGCCCCCGCGATGCCTCTGTTTGTAGCCAAACCGCTGACTGGTTACACGGCGATGGCAACAATAGTAACAGAACGAGTCTGATGTAACGTTTTGCGGCACCCACTTTCATCCAGCGCTGCTTTATCCTCCTAGTTATACGTGACAGCAGACACAGATCGGATCGCTGGATCTCTCATCAAAATGCACCCATGTTCGTCTCTCCAGACGCCCACCACCAAACAGCCACGGCCACTATTTAAAGATGGATCTCCGCAGCTATTCCTTCTCCAGATCGCGGCTGATCCAGTTTCTAAGCCTCCTCTCGCCCGTCAGTCTGCTGCTCCAGCCCCAGCTCCCAGGAACGGCAGACTCCTCCCTCCTAAGGTTATGAAACTGGCTTATTCGACGCCATAATGGTTTACAAACGCTGAGCCAGAGCCCCGGACCGCCGCAATACGCAATACGGCCGCTTGAGCCAAAATGACGACTGCGGCGCGCCGGCTATTATTCCGGGGGACCAGTTTCCTAACGTCCCTGGTTAAGGCAGCTCGGCGCCGCACCAATCGCAGGTATGAATGGGCGTCTGCCCTGACCATACCACCCCGCCGGCTGACGTCAGCGCTTTGCCCCTCCGAAGGTTTATTTTTAATCGGCTGCACGGCATGAGAGAGACCGAGGTTACGGAGCAATGTGGGGACGGCCGGCTGTACAGGGTCGCCAAATTCGGTCAGCTGGCCGGCGTGATGTTTTCAATTCGAGACACGAATTTATATGTATGTAACAGTTTTATTGCCGTGTAAATACTCTGTAGGGTTTGCAAACTACCACAAAGCTTTCGATGTCGATAACTTTAGGTTTGTAATGGAATAATATGGATTTGCCCTATGATTTCTTGCGTGTGTCACGCCAGATGCGTGAGAGTTGGCAACCCTGGGGTATATAAGACGGGCGGGGGGCACCCCCTCTGGAAGCACGTTGGACCCCGCAGGTACTTGGGTGCTGTGCTCGTCACATGCAGGACATCTCGAAATCTCTGTGAATGTGGTTTGAGTGATTACTTAATGGTCCGTCATTCTCCAAAATGCTGAAATATAACGAGTCTTTGTCAATTATTATGGAAGTTAAACAGAAATCTGGTAACGTCCAACACCCCCCCCCAGTCCAGACCAATCCAGATATTTATTGAAGTTTTTCAGGGCTCCTGGAATCGGCCTAACCCCCCCCCTTATGGCGCCCCATGACATCCAATAGTCTCGAAGTGAATCCAAATGTGAAGCTTCAGGCATTAGGAGGGTTTGGTTGTGAGGTCTGTATGTCAGCAGTAGTGTGAAGACCACAGCTCATCCAGGACAGTCTACTTCCACATGCAGCTACATCCCATTTAATTGATTTCTTAAATGAGATGCCTGGCATTGATTTCTGGGGGCTTCGCTGCTGTCGGGGAAGTTATTCTGAAATTTGTCTGCACTACAAAGGGAATTAAATGCAGATGAGGTGTGGATTGTTTCAGTGTTCAGGCATGTTCTGCTCTTACAGGAAGACAGCCGCCTGGACAAAGGATAATGAGCCGTACGTTCCAGACCTCGAGCTGGTATTACCTGGAAAGCAGGAATGGCTCTGCTCCTGGATGCTGACTGCTGACCTTACACGTCCAAACTATGGGTAATGGCAGCGTGTGACTATGTGCCAAACCAGGAAACGAGCTGGTCAATGCTGTGTCGCTTTTTCAAGCTCTTTGTAGTATTTGAATGAGAAACCCCCAGCTGGTGGAATAAAAATGTGTCTATAGTAATCAACTGGCTTAGGCTCCTAAACCCTGGTCACCAAAACAATCTCCCCTGGGTTAAATCAGCTAGTGATGTAAATCTCAGCAATGGGAATGATGTTATTTGTTTTTCATCAGTAATTTGCACACTTGTGTGTGAATGTTTTTTTAATGCCAGCCAAGAGATTTCAGAGGGTAACTTTGTTCAACAAATGAATTGAGATGTTTTCATGTTTTTGGTGATGAAATACTGGCACCTTTTTTCCCACCTCGCTGTGTTTGTTATTGCTGATCTGGCTGCAGGTTTAGCAAATACATCTTAGAAGCGTGTGAAATATTTATCTCTTTTTAAATTAAGGTCAGATCCTTAAATCTGTCATAATCCCAATTGTCATGTTTGCGTTCCATTATTATTTATTCATTTGTTTGTTTGTTTATACATACAGGTCACTGAGTGACTGAACCAGGTGGTATTTTATTTCAAATGATGTCTCCAATCTGTTTTTTTTTTTTCTGGATCAGAACATACTTCTAGTCCACTTGTGCTCCATTTGCAGGATGCATATCCAGTCACCCCAGATTACCCCAGACACATATTAAATGTTTTACCGTTTAATGCATGGATTGGTGTGAATGTCATATGGGTGGAGCCCAAGGACCTACATAATGATTCTATGTTGTTGTTTGTTATGCTTGTGTTGGGGGGGCAGACTTTGGTAATGATGAAGAAATGAGGCTTCAGGACCACTCAGCGGTGTAAACCCCCTTTCCGATGGGCTAAGAGCGGTGTTTCCCAGTCTGGTCCTTGGGGATTCAGAGACAGTCCACGTTTTTGCTCCCTCCCAACTCCCGGTATGTGGACTGTCTGGGAGGGAGCAAAAACACGGACCATCTGTGGATCGCTTCAGACCGGTTTGGGACACACTGGGTTAAACGGTGCAGCGATTGCCAGTGAACAGCAATCCCGCCCACCCTGGGTTTCTGAGCACTGAGTGCTTTCAGGTCCAGATCACTCAGCAAAAACAGCAACGCAGACAGCTGGGATCAATGAAGAAGCTGCCATCATGAATAAGCAAAGGGTGCAGCTTTACCACTATGGTGCCATTAGCAATGGAGACGCCCTCCGTCCAGATAATCTAGAGGGGGGGGGGGTACTTCAATTAATTCTGTCAGTCACTGTTTCTTACTCTCAGGACCGAGAACAGAGAATCCATGTCTCTACAATGGTCCAGGGTCTCAAGCAGATTTTATATATTCTGTAATTAACAGAAGGTTCCTGGAATTAATTCCAAAAATGCAATAAATAAAAGACTACAAAAGCAAAATAACTTACAATCAAAACCTCCCAACTTTAATTTCATGTTTACTTGAAACTGCAGTGTCCTGCACATTTGGTTTCCAGCTGCAGTGTGAACATCACTGAAACGGCTCAGTGGCCAGTGTCTCCGAAGGCCTGCAGTTTTGTTTAAAACTTTAAGGTTGTTTTCAGGTCTCGTCGCATTTGATTCTTCTTTTAGTTGAGATGGCACCAGTTCATCCATCATGTGTGAAAGACCTGGGCCCATTCATCTTCAGCATTTCTGTATGTCTTAAAGTGTCCAGCCAAGAACTGGCAGCATTCAGATAAATGAAACAGCTAAACATCAAATTTGATGTCATCCTACCATAATTCAAATCAGCCCCATCAATAATCATCATTTCAAATCTTCTAGTTTAGTCTTTAGAGTAAAAGTAATTCCTTGGGTTTTTAGCAACTTATATTCAACCAAGTTCACTACCTGAAAACAAAAAACCCTGTGAACACAAAACATTCTCCCAATCCTATAAAGTTTCAGACTTCGCGGGATGTTTTCCATCACTGGCGTACTTTGTGACAGACGAAGCTCATATGATGATCCCTGGCTGTTAAAGCCTTTGCACTGCACTGCTTTGAAGCAGTTTTGAGTCTCTCCCCAGGAACAGAGCCGCCAGACTCGCAGGAATGGTTCAGGTGAAGCCCCCCCATCCAAGGAATCTCCCCTGGACTCGAAGCGCCATCTTCACATCGTGAGGCCACCACAGTACCTGGCTCCCCTGAATCGTGCATAAATTATAGCTTTAATTCTATGTGGTGAACATGATTAAGTAACATTAATTATGCTGACTGAGTAGAAGACTTCTTATTGAGATCTTGATAAAAATGGAGAACAGAGAACAAAGCAACATCACATGTCTTGCGTACACAGACAACGTGGTAGTCGGAGTGGCCTGTGGATTTGGTGTAGATGTGTGGAAGTAGGCCATCCACTACTGAGTGATTCATGGGTGTCTCAGACGAGGTAGGCTAATGCTCCCCCCCCCCCCAAAAAAGGAACATCCAAGGCTGTAGCGAATCCAAAATGCGTTCACTCCGGGGAAGTCCAGATGGACGCAGTGGTGGGAGTTGTTCTCCGTCAGGATTTTACTGGTCTCCACTCTGTGATGCTGGCTGCCTGACATGGTGTGTGTGTGTGTGTGTGTGTGTTTGAAAGTGCGCCGTGAGCCCACTCACGGGAGCCGTAAGCTGCACGGCTGTATGACATCAATCACATGTGGCCAGTGAGAGGCGAGCTAAAGCGGCCAGTGAGAGGCAAGCTAAACCGGCCAATGGGAGGCAAGCTAAACCGGCCAGTGAGAGGCAAGCTAAACCGGCCAGTGAGAGACAAGCTAAACCGGCCAGTGAGAGGCAAGCTAAACCGGCCAGTGAGAGGCAAGCTAAACCGGCCAGTGAGAGGCAAGCTAAACCGGCCAATGGGAGACAAGCTAAACCGGCCAGTGAGAGGCAAGCTAAACCGGCCAGTGAGAGGCAAGCTAAACCGGGCAGTGAGAGACAAGCTAAACCGGCCAGTGAGAGACAAGCTAAACCGGCCAATGGGAGGCAAGCTATACCGGGCAGTGAGAGACAAGCTAAACCGGCCAGTGACTGATGGCACAACCAGATCCATTGCTCCAGTCAGGAAACATTTCGGCAGCGTACAGTTCTGTGTGCCCCGTCCACTGCGATCTGCACATGCCTCAGATGAACGGCTTCAGGTTATTCCCAAGCACTCAGCATGTCACAGGATGCCATCATTTGTGGACACATCTCCTGCAAATATCATTTATCCTCCTCCAGTCTGACAGGGGGACTTAAGCAGGATTTGTCTGTAAGCAGGCTTTTTATTTTTGATAATGATTCTTCTGCGGAGCTGCTTACATTTTCATACAGGGCCTTGACCTTTGCCCTTTGACCTTTGCTTTTTAGCAGTATATAGATGTTTCTCAATGCCAGCAGCACAAAAATCATACTTGTGTTCCTGGCAAGAGCGATCTTTCTAACTTGCGACCCAAGAATGAACTTGGGACACCGTGAATCATAGGACTGTTCTCATTTGGCGAGGATGCAACCAATGTAGCCTTGATATTTGGGGCAGGACAAGAATGGGGATTTTTGCTGTCCTCTGTACCTCTGTTCTTGAGCATTGGAACTAGTCTTTGGCAGTATAAGATGATGTAAAACAGGTACATGAGAACACAAGTACAGTCAAGTATGCATATTGAGATTCACCCCATGACTACAGATAATTACATGCTACCAATTGAACTGTTTAATTAAGGAAGTGTTCTCAGCTTTTTGTCTAGGGACTCCCTGCATAACATTGTCCAAGTCTTAACCCACCTTTCGAAACAATAAAACCCACAGACACACCATACAGTTCGAGAACCACTGGTTTACGGTTTTTAAAAAAGGAGCCGCTTAGAATTATTAGGTGTTTGGGACACTGGTGTGACATTACTTGATTGCATGGCTCGAAGGGCCACGCAGTCTGTCATTAGCAATTACCATCAATAAAAACATAAGAACAACAACAATAAGGAGAGGAATAAATGGAAATTCAATATGGCTTAACGGCCGGCTGCACCGTACACAGCGGTGCTGAGAGAATGAGACTGGCTCAATATTTCCATTGTTGAATTCCCTGTGAAATCGCGGCGTTCCTGTCTAACCCCATCTCTATTGTCCATATGAGCCTGATGCGGAAATGGTTCAATGACTTCCAATTTGGGCCGTTCACATTCCGCAGCTAACATCCGAACGGCTCATTCTCTGGCGCCTGCTCAGGTAATTAATTGAAGCTGAATTAACAGCCACTGTAGGTATTTGATTTTTCCCATGATCCTCCTGTGAAGTGTTCGGGGCAGATGCTGCAGCTGAGTAGCTGAGTAGCTTGTTGTGGTGTGTTATGGTCGGGCTGGGATAAATGAGCTTGGGCATTATAATGCTAGCAGAGTAGAGTAATGCTATGTTTGCGGTATAGTTATACAGTCTGTAATATGGTATTTTGAAATACCTGAATTTTATCACCACGATGTTCAAAACACCGGAGCAGCATTTCTTTAGAAAATAATGCGAAGCACAGTGTAACGTCTGGAAGGTGTGACGTTTTGAAAAAATAGAGACCATCTAAGCCTACTGTGAACCTCCTTCAGCACTTGAAGCATTACCGTCCGGTAGAAGATAGAGAAATCAAGTGTTTACAGTCTCAGACACCAACAATGTCAAACCAGAACGAGCAGCGACGCTGTCTTCAGCAAACAGCACTATCCGAGTGGTGTGACGTTACGCTCTATGAAAAAAGTTATTTATTAAAATTAGATTTCAGTCCATTCAATTTATGTCAATTTTTCATGCCATGAGTCTGCTTAAGGGGAATCCTAAGGGGAATTCGAAGCAAAAATGGGGCCTAGAAAAAAAGAATTAGTGTAGTGATACTTATCAATATCGAATAATATTTAAAAAAATTATTGCGATAGAATGTTTTGCTGTATTGCCCAGCCCGACATTTTGCACAGTTTACAGTCACAGATTTCATTCAAAAAGCAGTGTACAAAGGAAACGCACATGCATTGTTCGAATACTGTGAAGGAAGCATACGTGCACTGTCTGAACACTGCGAAGGAAACAAGTGCAGTGTTCAAACACTGCGAAGGGAACACGCGTGCACTGTCCGAACACTGCGAAGGAAACACTCGTGCACTGTCCGAACACTGCGAAGCAAACACGCGTGCGGTGTCCGAACACTGCAAAGGAAACACGTGTGCACTGTCCGAACACTGCAAAGGAAACACGCGTGCGCTGTCCGAACACTGCAAAGGAAACACGTGTGCACTGTCCGAACACTGCGAAGGAAACACGCGTGCGCTGTCCGAACACTGCAAAGGAAACACGCGTGCACTGTCCGAACACTGGCCTGGGGCTGGACTCACATCCAAGCTAACCACTCTCCTAATAATAATTTGATTACTTGTGTTGCCAAATCGGATGAAACCAAGCATCAGTTTTACCTGCGTGAATGTGATTGATTAATGGGCGCTTGAGTCGAGTCGGATGCAGTGGCGCTGATGAAGATGGATGGAGTGATGAGGTGGGCTGCATTTCTGTCAGACGCACAGCTCCTGTTAGGTGTTATATCCTTGAGTTAGTGATGTTATGTCTTGCTGTTCCAGTGCACAGTGCACAGTGACAAGGCCCTTGCACTGCTTAGCTTTTCAAGGCCCCCAGTATGTGTGCATGCCGCTTCATATGGGTAATCTGAACACAACCTGACACGTCCTACA